AAGATTAATGCTTCTTGTACCTAACAGATCCTGGAGGGCAGCCAGCACCAAGACACAGGGTGCTGGGGAAAGGTGCATGAGGGATTTGAAGCATTCCTAGTTTGGAGGAAAACTGAGAAGGAAGGCTGTCTGGGGTCCTTGCATCTTAGTCTTACCTTGACCCTCTTTCTATAAGCAGAGCCCTGAAGCCCTGGAAGCCTGGGCCAGTGGGGAGAGATCTCGGAGAAGGAGAGCAGTGCTTACCCAGAAGCGGAAGAGTGAGCCCTGGGCACAGCAGGGGTGGGAGGTGATCTTGTAATGTGGGGATCAGATATATATATATATATATATATATTTTAATCTGAGCTAAGTGAGGGTGGAGGGCAGACATCAGGGCACCTGAGGTAGACAATCCAACTGAGATTTCCTCTTTCTCTTCTCAGAGAGGCATTCAGTTCTGCATCTTGTTCCCATTAACATCACCTCCAAGGGTGAGCATTATTTTAAATAATGACTTTGGGGAGGGGCACAAGCAAGGAATTTTGGGGCTGGTATCTGGGCCCAAGAGAATCTTAAGAGGTGAAAAGATGAGAGATGATAAATGTCTAGGGTGTAAAGAAATCCTGACATCCACACTCCTCACCTCCAGAGGACTCTGATGTGACAGAGGTGATGTGGCAACCAGCCCTTAGGCGTGGGAGAGGCCTGGAGGCCCAAGGATACGTTGTCCGAGTCTGGGACGCTGGAGTTTATCTGCTGTATAGCCAGGTAACTCCAGGCATACCCTGAACTCCACATGGGGGCCTGGAGGCTATCTCTTTACTCTTCTCCCAGAGCCTGTATGCCCCATACTGAGGGTTCCTGATCCAAACTTGGGAGGCCCTTATTCATACCAAACTTGGGAGGCCCTTATTCATTTCCTAGCTCCTGTGAGGGCTCCAAAGCTGTCTCAGAATGATCATACCATCCTGTTTTTCTTCAACATCTTCTCTCTTCCCTGCCAGGTCCTGTTTCATGATGTGACTTTCACCATGGGACAGGTGGTGTCTCGGGAGGGTCAGGGAAGACAGGAGATTCTATTCCGATGTATATGCAGTATGCCTTCGGACCCTGACCGGGCCTACAATAGTTGCTATAGTGCAGGTGAGAATCATATAAGCATTGGAAGTCGGATGTGAGCAGAGGACATGGCTGAACTAGACGGTGGAAGCCTGGGTGTAGAGGTAGATTTGAGGAATGAAGGACAGAATGCCTAGGTCCTTAGAGGAAGCACAGAAAAGGTGGAGCTGGAGAAGGCAGGGTGAAACATCAGAGTATGTGGATGGCTGTGCTTCATTGAGCATCTGTTTTCTCCTTTTCTCAGGTGTCTTCCATTTACACCAAGGGGATATTCTCAGTGTCCTAATTCCCCGGGCAAAGGCGAAACTTAGTCTCTCTCCACATGGAACCTTCCTAGGGTTTGTGAAACTATGATTGTTACAAAAGGTGCTTCTGAAATGGGAAGACCAGTGGGGGTACACATTGGAGACAGCCAAGAGCTGGCTAGACAAAAGATGGGGAATGGGCAGAAACAGAAGCCTCTACTTGGGTCTGATTTCATCACTCAGTCCACTCATTCTTCACTCCCAATCCTAGATTTTGACTTAACGGATATTAAAGAGGCAGAATATCTTGCTTTCATCTCCCATCCGCCCCAAATTCTTGTGTGTGTGTGTGTGTGTGTGTGTGTGTGTGTGTAGGGGGGTTGGGAGGTGGATGCCAGGCATTGTCCAGACGTGCTGTGGGTCCTCTGGAATGCATCCAGAACAGCACTACCATCTAGCGGCAGTTTGAGGGAATCATTCTGCCTGCTGGCACAGTCCACTAAGCCTCTCTCATCTAGGGAAAAATCTCAGTCCTAATGCCACACCCCTCTTCAGGTACCCTCTGAAGAAACTGTATCTATTGGGCCCCATATTCCGTCACTATTTCCAGAGATGTATCTATTATGCGTCCGTCTGTAGGGCGTGCCCGATGACGAAGGTCCTTTTGCGACCACATTACTCTTAGGGTCCCAAGTTTTTTGTTTGGTACTGGGGACTGAACCCAGAGGCGCTTTACCACTGAGCGACATGCCCAGCTTATTTCCATTTTAAAAGACAGAGTATTGCTAAGTGGCTAGGGCCTCCCTAACTTGCTAAGGCTAACCTCGAACTTGTGAGCCTCCTGCCTCAGCCTCTCCAGCCGCTAGGACTACAGGCGTGCGCCACCGCGCCCAATCGGGTCCCAAGTTATTCCTTTAATACTCTCCATTCCCCTAGCGTGGCAGGCTAGACTGGTGATCAGATGATCCTTGGATGTGTCGTACGCACTGGCTGGTGTTCACCTCATTCTTTTGAGCTCTTTTTGCTCGACAATCGCTAAAGTAAAATAAAAGAAATAAGTCCCCTGGTATTTCGCCTCAAGTTGCTCCCTGTATCAGGACCTCCCTGCCCTGCTGCCTCTGCCCTGACGCACCCACTGGACAAGGGTCTAGGGTCCCTCAGGCTCAGGCCCACGAGCGCCGAACGCAAAAGGGCGTGAATCGAGACACAACACGCAGGCGCAAACAGCGGAGCTGGGGGGCCGGCACGCGCGGCCAGGTAGGGAGGTGTGCGCAGGCGCAGCCTGGCGTAGAGCTCGGGGGCGGGACGCTCCCGTGACGACTACGTTCTCCGGTAGGCGGGACTGGGCGCGTGGAGGCGGGACTGGGCGCGTGGTGGCCGCGCCGGCGCCGTTCGCCGGGTGTGACGTACTAATTGTGCGCCGCCAGCGCCGGTGGGCCTGGGGCTCGCGGGAGGGGAAGGAGGAGGAGAGGGGGGGAGGAGGTGGTGGTTGTGGTGGTGGTGGTGGTGAAGGAGGTAGAGGCTGAAGCCGAGCAAGAGGCGGTCGCGGCGGGGTCGCGCGGTGCGCGGCCCAGAAACCCTGTAATCCTGAATTGATACGGCTGCGCCTAAGGACAGCAGGAGTGGCGGGGCCGCCGCCGGCGCCGGAAAGATGAGCCGGGAAGCCTGAGGCGGAGACGCCCGCCCTCGGGCCCGTCCGCCCGGCTTCCCCGCTCCGGTGAGGACGCCTCTTCCCCTCCCCCCGCCCTGCCTTGGCGTCCCATTCCTGAGCCTCGCTCCTACCGAACAGGGGCCAAGAGGCCCTCGACGGGGCGTCTTCAGCCCCTGTTAGCCTAGCTGTCCAGTCTTACGGTGCTGGGACGCATTTTGGTCCCCGGGGATGGGGTAGGAGAGGGGGCTGGGCTGACCTGGCTCACGTGGCTCGGTTCTGTCCCAGTACCTTGATTCGGTACCGTAAACACCGATTCGGTTTTCTTTTAGTTTCCTTCAAAATTGTTTCCCTTTCATCAGATTCTGACCTCTGAGCCATATACCTAGCGCCTCCATTCCCACCTGTGATGATCTTAGAGTGCTCACCCCACTCCTCCACATTAATTCCAGACTGAGAGGGAGCCGTCTTCCCAGTCTGGACAGTTCACCTGTGAAAGTTGTATTCTCTCCAGATACCTCTGCACCATGTCAGGGATCTTATATTGGGCCATCTCCACTAGCAAGCTCACCTTTATTAGGCTCTCAAAGAACACCTGGTTATGTTAAAATGGAGAGTGGAGCCTGGAAATACTGGGTTTCACCCAGAGACCTGAGAAATAAGATCACTTAGGCCTGCTGCTTAGCCATTTTCCCTTGCCTCCATCTGGGTAAGGGAGAGATAATGGCTCAGACTCTAAAGGCCTTTTTGTGGACTACATTAACTAGGAAGAGCTAAAGTTATGAGTTTTACATTTTTTCTCTATTATTTGCATGTGAATCCCAAGGGCTTGCTGAGGAAGAAGAATCAGGGGCAGGATGTTTGGATTCTGATACTCTAACCTTTGTTTTACAGGGTACTGAAACATGAAAGAGACTATACAAGGGACCGGGTCTTGGGGGCCTGAGCCTCCCAGACCTGGCACAGCTTATTCGAGCCCCAGGAGGGAGCGTCTTCGTTGGCCCCCACCACCTAAACCCCCTCTCAAGTCTGGTGGAGGGTTTGGGCCAGATCCTGGGTCAGGGACCACAGTGCCAGCCAGACGCCTACCTGTCCCTCGGCCTTCTTTTGATGCTTCAGCTAGTGAAGAGGAAGAAGAGGAGGAGGAAGATGATGAAGATGAAGAAGAGGAAGTGGCAGCTTGGAGGCTGCCTACCAGATGGGGTCAACTAGGAGCCTCCCAAAGGCCTCGTCCTCCCCGCCCCACTCATCGAAAAACCTGCTCACAGCGCCGCCGCCGAGCCATGAGAGCCTTCCAGATGCTGCTCTACTCAAAAAGCACCTCGCTGACATTCCACTGGAAGCTTTGGGGGCGCCACCGGGGTCGTCGGCGGAGCCTCACACACCCCAAGAACCATCTCTCACCCCAGGAAGGGGGTGCAACGCCACAGGTGCCATCCCCCTGCTGTCGTTTTGACTCCCCCCGGGGGCCACCCCCGCCCCGGCTGGGTCTGCTAGGTGCTCTCATGGCTGAGGATGGGGTAAGAGGGTCTCCACCAGTGCCCTCTGGGCTCCCCATGGAGGAAGATGGACTAAGGTGGACTCCAAAGTCTCCTCTGGACCCTGACTCGGGTAAGGTGGGAAAGAGGTGGGGTGAAGTGGGGAGGGCTAGCAGCTGGAGCACCAGGAGACACTTGCTGTGGTGAGAATCAAGCCTAAGGAAAGCAGAGTGAGGGATCTGAAATAGCTGAGAAACATCTTCATTAAACCTCACTTTAAGCAGGAAATAAGACTAACTGACCATGCTGGGAAATAGAACCCCTAAGTTGGAGTCCTGTGGTCTTAAGTACAGATGAGAAAGGGAGCTATGGTTTAGGAAACTTATCCACTTCAAATCAGAACTCCAGCATGTACATCTCCAGAGGACACTGTTTACATAGTGGTAGAATGGGATCCCCTCCTGGTAGTGGAGTACATAATCTCTGTTTGTCTGTAACATTCTTCCTCAGAATACTTAACCTCCAGAGAACTCCAGCCAAACAATTTAACGTCTTTTATTAAGAACTCAAGTATTTGTTGAGCCATTATCATAGGTTGGGCAGTAGGCTGCATGCGAAGTGTAGAGTAGTAACATATTCCTGAAATTTATATTTCTGATTCCAGTCTTTTCTTGATTTCCTCCTATCTGCGAATAGGAACTCCTGCTTTCTCTCTCATTAGAACCTCTTGGACATCCTTATTTTATGCTTTAGTATTTTTTTTGGCGGGGGCAGGGGGTGTCTCCTTACCTTGAGGCTTATATTGGTAAATTCTGCTTTAATTCATCCTTTTTGTGGAATTATATTTGTGTGCATTAGTTAATCTTCCCATTATTCTTTCAGCTGGGCTAATTTCTCATCTCCAAACTATTTCCCTTGCCTTATAGGCCTCCTCTCGTGTACTTTGCCTAATGGCTTTGGGGGACCACCTGGGTCAGAAGGGGAGCGCAGCCTGGCACCCCCTGATGCCAGCATCCTCATCAGCAATGTGTGCAGCATCGGGGACCATGTGGCTCAGGAGCTCTTTCAGGGTCCTGATTTGAGCACTGGGGAAGAAGCAGAGCGGCCCGGGGAGAAAGCTGGCCAGCATAGTCCCTTGCGGGAGGAGCATGTGACCTGTGTCCAGAGTAAGCCCTAGTGGACCTAGCCTCCTTCCTTTGGTCAACTCCTAGAGCAAAGTCTCACTTCCCTCTCTCTTCTCTATCCAGGCATCTTGGATGAATTCCTTCAAACTTATGGCAGCCTCATCCCACTCAGCACTGATGAGGTAGTAGAGAAGTTAGAGGACATTTTCCAGCAGGAGTTCTCCACGCCTTCCAGGTAAGGCTTGAGGGACTGATTCTCTTTAAAGGAGTGCTGGGACCTAGGGGTTAGGAATAGAATGCTTGTTGTTTTATCTCCCATAGGTATGTACTTGGGGAGGAGGAAACTAGAGCTGAAGGGGAGGAATCTGCAGGCAAGGTGTCAAGTCCCTATAAGCCAACTGGGAGGGTCTTCACCTGGGACCCTGAAATATTATGTATTTCATGTATCTTTCTCGGGAATGAGCCCTTTCAGGTCCTCCAAAGGATCCATGATCAAGAAAAAGAAAGTCATTTTAGGTTCTTATTCTAGGCAGTAGTAGGTATTTCTGTATGCCCCAGCTCCATCATCTCTTGTGTGATTCTACCTTTGGCCTACTCAGAAAGGGCCTGGTACTGCAGCTGATCCAGTCATACCAGCGTATGCCAGGCAATGCCATGGTGAGAGGCTTCCGAGTATCCTATAAGCGGCATGTGCTGACCATGGATGACTTGGGGACCTTGTATGGACAGAACTGGCTTAATGACCAGGTGAGAAGTGGTGGAGAGGCAGCCTGAGTAGAGATTCTGGGGGAAGGGTGTCTGAGGCCCTCTGCATGGGAAGCCATGTACTCAAGCCACATCCTCCATGGCAAGTTGCCTCTCATCTTCTTCCCAGGTGATGAACATGTATGGAGACCTGGTCATGGACACGGTTCCTGAAAAGGTAGGTCCAACCACATAGTTTAGTCCCCAGAACAGTGGCAATTCTAAGCAGTTTTCAGTTCATCTCTTCCATTTTATATAAAGAGGGTTTCTGTTTTCTGGGGAAAAAGTGGTAGAAGTTATCCATTTCAAATCTCTAATCTTGGTTCTGGACTTACCAATTCTTTTCCCTTCTGCCAGCCTTTAATGTTTTTCCTTATGGCTAACTCAAAAAGAATTGGGATGGGAACCTATTTAAAAAACAAAACAAAACATTTTTTCACTCTTAGGGATTTGGAGTGGGGGTTGTTTGAACCAATCTTTAGAGCCATATGAAATGGAGTGGACTAGAAGAAGGGAGGGGAGACTTGGTGGTAGGCTCAGGTCTTTTAATTTTACCCAACTCTATTGTGTCATTGGCACAGGTGCATTTCTTCAACAGTTTCTTCTATGATAAACTTCGTACCAAGGGTTATGATGGGGTGAAAAGGTGGACCAAAAATGTAAGTTATTAATTGATAACTATTTATACAATGCTTTGCTTCTGAAAAATTAGAGTGGTTTTCTATGAGCCCTTTCCCAAGTTCATTCAGTCTTACAAATATTAAATACTTACGTGAGGCAGGAACTGTTATAGGCACCAAGGATGCAGTATTAAATGAGGAAAACTTTTATTTCATTTATATAAATGAGTCCCAAAGAGAAACAGAACATGGTTGAGGAACGCAGGGCCTGTGTGGGTAGCCTATTTGACTGGAGCAGAGTGAACAAAGGGAGAATGATAGAAAAATTGGGTTAGAGAGATCATGTAATGCACGTAGGATAGGTTAATGAGGTACATTACATGTACCAAGAAGCCATTGGAGTTAAGCAGGCTGGTTCTAGTAACAGATTAAACAGGAGCAAAAGTGGAAACTGGCAGACTAGCTAGGAGAGAAGCACAGTAGTCTAGGAGAAGTTGCTAGATGGGAGTGCTAAAAGTGGAGGTGGAGTTGGTTGGGGACACTGTGAGAGTAATTTCATCTAGAATAAGTTTCACAGGTATAACCAGTAGAATTTTATGACAGGTCAGATGTGGGAAATGAAGAAGATAGAGGAATGGAGGGTAATTCCTAGATTCTTGGCCTAAGTGAACTGGGAAAATTGGAAGAGAAGGAAATTGAGATTTTTCTTCTTTATGGGTTTCTCTGCCCTACAGTTGACAGGCGAGGAAATTTCTACAGCTTTTTATTTTATATACTTACCTATTTATTTTGAGATGGGGTCTCATTATATCACTCAGGCTGGGCTTGAATTCCCCAGTTCAAGAGATTCCACTGCCTTTCTAGTATTTGGGACCCAATGTTTTGGGACTATGTAGTGGCACATGTCATAACATGAGACTCCCCCCCCCCAGTGCTAGGGATCAAACCCAGGGTCCTGTGCATGCCCTTGCCTCCTTTTTTCTGGTTTCCTCTCTTACCTAAACAATCTAATGTCCAGATGTTGAGCCTTGCCTCAAAGTGCAGGGCCTGGGTATTGTGTTCTCTCACTTGTCGTCCTTATGTCCCTTTAGAACCCTTGTGGCAATTACCAGGACCCTTTTGTGTTCTACCTGACCTCAGCTGCTCTCTCTCAGGTGGACATCTTCAATAAGGAGCTACTGCTAATCCCCATCCACCTGGAGGTGCATTGGTCCCTCATCTCTGTTGACGTGAGGCAGCGCACCATCACCTATTTCGACTCACAGCGTACCCTAAACCGCCGATGCCCTAAGGTTTGAAAGGGGTAGGAGGAAGGTGGGAAAAATGTAGGGAGAACCAGTGGCAAGGCTTTCCTGGAAAAATGGTGGGCTTTGGGTTTCTGAGGAGCAACCTGGGCATGGTATTTGCCACTGTCATACCTTGGGTTAAGTTATGAAGTGAGAGGCATCAATATTCTTTTTTCCTACCCACATAGCATATTGCCAAGTATCTACAGGCAGAGGCGGTGAAGAAAGACCGACTGGATTTCCACCAGGGCTGGAAAGGTTACTTCAAAATGGTGAGTTTCCATGGGGAGGGATATGGGGTGATGATGAGGGTAATGGTAGGAGGCAGAAATTGAAGTCATACCCCTGGGAGTCTCTAGGTGAATAGGTCTACCTTTTATTTTCTAGAATGTAGCCAGGCAGAACAATGACAGTGACTGTGGCGCCTTTGTGTTACAGGTAAGCAGATGATGGGGCCTCCTTCTCTTCCAGTTCTGAAGTCATTTGGGTTAAATTTTGGGAGGCTGTTGACTCATTTGGCTCACAGCCAGCTGTAGAGCAGGGAATAGCCTTATTTGTTAGAACACAGAAACCCTGATTTTATTGGTCCCCTCTATCCCACAGTAGAAGTGGGCTGCTTGAGGCCCTGGTACAGCTGCCTCCTAGCTCCTGATTCAATGTTTTATTCCACTTAAAGGCTAGGTATATTATGTACAAAGAACAGTAACATCTGAGCCAGGCTGATTTTGAACTCTAGACCATGGGAGTGTGGCTCCCTCTTATGTGAAATGGGTATAGTCTCTAAAAAATTGAGATCTCATGAAATATGTAGCACAGGTCCTGACTTGGGAGGGATGCCCAGTAGATGGTTCTCATGGCCTGCTTTGTTAACACCCAGTACTGCAAGCACCTGGCCCTGTCTCAGCCATTCAGCTTCACCCAGCAGGACATGCCCAAACTTCGTCGGCAGATCTACAAGGAGCTGTGTCACTGCAAACTCACTGTGTGAGCCTCGAACCCCAGGCCCTGGGCCCGTTAATGGGCAGAGGGACCTGGGAGACCCTCCCCAAGATACTCCAGTTCCTTTCCTTTCCTGCCTCTCCCCATCCAATTCCCTTTGGTTTTTTCATATTTAAATGTTTTAATTGATTTCTGTATTTTTTTTTTCTTTTGAGAGAATACTTGTTGATTTCTGATGGGCAGAGGGTGGCCATGGGGAAAGTCCTTTTCTCCCTCTCTGCAGGGGAGTGTTGCCTTGTGGCTTGGGTGGAGCAGTCATTCCCCCTTCTATGCCAAGGGGGCAGGAAATCAGTGTGGGGGTGGTGGGCGGGCAAAGGGATTACTGCCTGCCATATCTTCAAAACTTTTTTTATATATATATATAAATGCCACGGTCCTGCTCTGGTCAATAAAGGATCCTTTGGAGATACATAAGTGGTGGTCTTCCTTAAGGGGCCTCAAACTAGAGGATATGCGCTCTCAGGACTCCTTACAACCTGTGCAGTTAGCTATTCCTTTTGGGATCTTTAGACTGCAGGAGCCAGGTCTCCATACCTGATTCAGTCAGTGCCAACACCCAATCTTCATCACTCAAACAAATCCCCCAACCAGAGTGCAGAGGGCAGAAAGAAGGTAAAGTAGGTAAGCCGCAAAAAACGGGGGAGCCTGAGAAGCTGGGGAAGAGGACGCCAAAGGGATTGGGGAGGAGGCTGGATAGGATTTATGACAGCTACCCCACATGCCTTTAAGCCCAGAAATAGTTCCAACCCTCGTCCTCCCTCCAGCCAGGGGAATCCTCACAAGTCCTAGGATCGCTTCTGATTCTGTCATCCCCATTACTTAGAACACTCCTGGGCGGTGTCGGATCTATCCTTGCTGCCAGGGAAAACAAAACTTTGAGTCCTGTGGAAACCGGGAGCACAGGTAAAAGGAAGTGGCAGTCCCGGGAGCCCGGAAGTCCCTTGAGGCTGAGACCTCGCCCCCCTTGCGCGATAGGACCTCCTGAACCACATGACTAAGGCACGATTACCTCCGCACGTGTAAGGGTGCAGGGCCCCAAGATGGCTGCCAGGCCTCGAGGCCTGACTACTCTATGTCACTTCCGTGCCGGCGAGAAAAGCGGACCCATTAGCCAATGAGACTGCGGGGCGGGTCTTCACCTTGATAGGCGCCGAAGCTACCCAATGGTGGCTTCGAGCCGTAGCGCCTACGAGCTAACGTCACGCCGGGTTGCAGAGCGCCGGCAGGCGGGGCCGAGGCGGCCAAGCCAATGCGATGGCTGGGGCGGGGTCGGGCGCTCTATAAGTTGTCGATAGGCGGGCACTCCGCCCTAGTTTCTAAGGATCATGTCTGCGAGTCAGGATTCCCGGTAAGAAAAGCATTTGCAAGAGTTGTGGTTACTTACCCTTCCGTTCCCTTCCGAGGGCCCCGCCGGGGGGAAGCTGAGAGGCCCACCGCCCCAGGCCCACTAGGGTTGCGGGGAAAACCAAGCCGGGAGGACTGATCCGGGGGGCAAGAGGGCAGATCCATGGTCGACGCTGCCATCAGGCCCGAGGCAGAGGGAAAGAGAACCCGGTTAGGGCCGAGCGAGTGAGGCTTATTACGAGTCCTCGATCCGAGGCGATGCCGTGCGGGAAGCCCTGTAGCTGAGTGGCGAGACGAGGTCGCGACCTAGCGTGGGAAAGAGGCAGAGGCGACCGCGACTACGTGGCCCGGATCCGGCCGGTCCGGTTGCCTCACTGTGCCAGGGGAGGGTTCGTGCGCGGGGGTTCCGGAGGATTCTGACGGTACCACTCGCTAGAGGCGGGGGTGCCTGGGTCCTCAGACAGTCGCTCCGTCGCGGCTGAAATGTGGGTCGGGGAAGAAGAAACCGGCCGTTCAGTGTGCTGGTTTTCTTGACGGCCAGGACTGAGCCTAACCCCGAGGAGCGGCCGCGTGAGGCACCAGGAGCCCACCCGGCGCCGGGCGGGCGGG